GAAGGAAGGAAGGAAGGAAGGAAGGAAGGAAGGAAGGAAGGAAGGAAAGAAAGAAAGAAAGAAAGAAAGAAAGAAAGAAAGAGAAAAAAAGAAAGAGGAAAAAAAGAAAGAAAGAGAGAGGAAGAAAGCAAGAAAAGCAAGCAAGCAAGCAAGTAAGAAAGAACAAAAGAACTTTAAAACATGTTGGTGTAAATGTGCATTGTTAAAAACCACACTGGAGAATAATGTTACAATATCAAATGAGGTTGGTATGCACATACCCTATGACTTAGAATTCTCCTTGTGGATATATAGCCTAAAAAATTCACATACATGTCCCCAGAGAGACATGAAAGAGAATGTTTATTGTGGCATTATATTTAACAGCAAAAACGTGAAAAACAAACTGAGTGTTTAAAAACACGATTGTGGATAAACTGTGGTGCCAGAGTCACACAATGAAATACTAAATAGGTATGTACTAAATATATAACAACCAGGCAGGAAGGATACATGCTAATTTTGGGATACTGATTACCTTTGGGCAGAGAGCAACAGAACTGGGCAGTGGGGGCTGTGGTTAAAATGTATCAGTGTTGTTAAAACAAAAAACCCTAAAGCCATTATGGCAAGATGTCAACATCAGTTAAATCTGTTAAAAACAATGAGCCTGACCATATGTACAGACTGATAAGGAATGATTTCCAAGGCATACTGTTAAGGAAAAAAGTAAGCTGTGGAAGAATGTGACATGTAGACTACCATTTGTGTAAAAGGGGGATCAGCTTGTGTTGAATATTTCTGAATGACACAAAATAAATGGACACTGATGATCTCTAAAGGGGAAGGAGGCTGAGGACTGGGGTCAGCAGTCGAAAAGAGACCAACTTTGTGTACCTTTTTCTACTATATGGCTGCTTTTAGCTCTTGCATTTGTTTTCTCAAAAGTAAAATATTAAAGCAAAAAACATCTTGAATTAAAATTATTTCTAGCCCAACAATGCATTTAGAGCCAAAATTACTCTTTTGAGGAATATTTTGCATAAAAATATAAGTGTATCCTTATGTTTGCCATCTTCCCAAATGACTGATTTTTCCAAAGAGTTCTTGATAATAAGTTCCTTATGATCAGTCACACAGAAATATACACCCTGCCCGCTGCATCTGCCTTAACTGTGCATCTATTTATATGGTATGACGGATACTTTCCCTAATAAATCTTACCATTTCCCCTGCTAAGGAATTGAGTGCTGACTAAATGGCTGATGACACATGGGAGTTATTCCTACATTTTCCACACACAGTAACACAAATCAATGCAATGCCCTTTCTGCTGGTAGAAACACTAACAGCTTTGGGGCATTGTCAGAAGGGGTGGGGGGCATACAGTGAATCCACAGTTCTGGACTTTTCTTTGAGAGGCAGCCTGAGGCAATTTGAGAGCAAAAGCAGGATTTGGAGTTCCTAACCTCACACGTTTTATTTCTTTGAGCTAATTTACAATCAAGAGAGCTCCCACGCTGTCAGATCTAGAACTCAACTACTTCAAACAGTAAACTTTCCTCTTATATTTTGCTTTGAGTTTCTTAAGGATGAGTTTGTTTATAGGCTGATTACCTGAGTAGAGTAGTGATTTTCAAACCTTTTATCGTAGGACCACTTTAGGAAACAAAACTGATCCTCACTGCCTTCTCTTTCCCAAAGCTAGACCCTCTGGGCCCCATGCCCCAGCTGGTGGAAAGTGCAAGATTCTGGTTTATACCACTTTACAGGTATCGGGGAGGCAGGAGAGAGACTCAGGGTAATAGGGGAAGAGAGGAAAGAGGCTCATAGTCATCTCTTTTTCATCTTTCATTTCACAACTTCTTCCTTCCCATGCCTGCTGGTGTGCTCCCTCGCCTTGTTCCAGAGCCAAAAGGCAGGTCAACTTCACTGCTTCTTATCCAAGTTGGCAGAGGTTGGTGGCAGCGGGGTGGTAACTCTGCCCGATGTTCTCAAGCTACACTTGGGACATGTCCAACAGCAAAGTCACTCAGTAAACAGTTCTCTGTATTCTCTTTCCCTTGAGTTGGCTGGAATATCTAGGACCTAGTACCACCCACTCTTTAATTCAAGACAAGCCCACAGACCAGAAACTTCACAGATCGCCCTATCTTAAAGCTGTCTTTTTCGAGGTACAAAATGTCATCTACAAAATCATTGATATGCTACATTATTTCAATTCCAAGCCCTATCGATGTCCTTTTCAAGGCTTGGTTTTTCTATTTTTAGGAATATTTCCTGTACATCATTCATTCAATATTCAAGAACCTTACTAAATGTCTATTTTGTGCCTAGTTTTGTACTGGGGTTGAGTGGGGGTAAGGGAGATGAACAGATATTGCATGTAACCGTTCCTTATTTTAAGAAGCTTACAAAATGACTGGAAAGAGAGAAGTCAATATGAAACAAATAAAGAATAACTCAAGACAAAAGATCTTTAAACACCGAAAGCAAGGAATAAATATCAGAGACCTGGAGAGATTAGGAAAAGCTTTAAGAAAGATGTTGGGCTGAAGCTGGGTTTTTAAGGAGGGGTGTAAGGTTGGGTAGGGTTTTCTAGATGTGACATAATAGTGAAGACCACAGAGGCTGGTCTCCGCAGAACAGACCGTGGGACTGACAGAGCCGTCTAATAAAGCAACTCTGAAACCCAGTAAACAGGTAAATAAGCAAACAAAACCAAGGGGCAAAGATAGATTAATAAGTTGTGAAGAATTAGTTATTTGGCTACATATAGACTCCTAGAGATCAAAGGGACCTCATGAATTATGTCATCCACCTTCTGCCTTCATTTTACAGATGAGAACACGGGATTAGAGAGGTGAAGTGATTTCACCATATCAGGTAACAAATTACTGCCAGAGCGGAAATTCAACTCCAGAGCTTCTGACTCCCAACACATCACACTCTGCTTCAAACCATCAGACTATTATGCTCAGATGACTTCAGGCCAATTGGGACCAGTGACATACTAACAGTAACAATGTAGGTTTCAAAAGGGAGGATTGTAGGAGGGATAAAGCTCATTTTCTACACAGATACTTGGGATATTTCTAAATTTTTCTTTTCTTGAATTGTAGTACTTATTGCCTCATGTTTCACCTCCTTTGCTTCACATTCAAAGTCTTCCACAACATGGCCTTTCCGGG